CCCCCCCAAAAAAAAAACAGTTTATAAAATATCACGGGTCAGCTGACGTTACCATGAGCATGTTGTATTACCAATTTTTGTAGCATTTCTCCAAACACATTTCCTAAAGATTAATGGGTCTTTGTTCACAAAAGCAACATCTGGCTGGCTCAGTGAGAGATTTTGAGGTGTCCCATTAAAGTATTGGGATGTACTCCCAATCCTTAGAGCTGGCATGCGACATATGCCACCTCTATAGATGGAGACCTGAGGGATCACAAACCCACTGATCACTCAGCTTCCAGTATTGTTCCTGCAGAGAGGAGAGTCAGTTACCTCTATCACCAGGATTCCTCACCTCCTCTGGTGGTCATTGGAGGGACAGACAGGGCACAGCTGGTTCTGGCTCAAGAGAGGCAGAGCCAGCTATCAGACAGCAGGGTGGATCCTGACTATGTCAGGATCTTGCCTGGCTGCAGCACGGCTCTGTGCGGTCAGCATATAGCAGGCAAAAGCGCACTAGATGCAGAGTTTGGGTAACAGGAGTACATGACCCAAAAAGAACTAAAGCCAAAAAAAGGTTTATTTTTTAAAACCCTGTTGCCAATATGAAATTGGAATAAAAAACACATTTACAGGAAAAGAATCCAAATATACGTCACTCCATTACAGAGAATCGTCCCAAGGAGTATGCTGGGAAACACTTCCAGGAGTGTCACTGTCCTGTGTTCCTACTGCAAATACACATCACTACAGGGCACATTAGTGACATGGAGGTCAGCTGGAGGAGACTAAAAGGGGCCACAGGACATCAGACACTCCAGGAGTGTCCCATTTCCCTGAAGATGAATCCTCAGCAACAGAGGCAAGTATTTACTGGCTACTTTTCAGTAGTTAAGTTTATTTTGCTATTGGCAATAGGTTAACTTTGAGGACCTCAGCAAAATAAGCTATTCCAGGTGAAGATAGCCAGTTCATGAGACTTCTAGGAATGTTTATTTCATGCAGAAAATGAGTCCAAAGATTTTACAACCAGAGTCCTTCCAGGTCACATCCACCCCCCC